TTAGGCAAGCCTATCCAGTTCCAGGCACAGAGAAATCACACCTGTTTTACCTCCTGTTGATTTTAACTCATCTTTCCAATGCTTTGATATGCTTGCTTTTAACTGCTTTTTTGCTGAGATGTTTAATGTTTTATTTCACATTTTTGCAAACTGCTTAGAGGGTTGGTTGTTTTTCCTACAATCAAAAGGTATATAAATTTGGTTAAGTAAATAAAATAATAATTGAGCCCTGCTGGATCAGATCTGCTGAAGTATGAAGGTAACCCGAGAGGTACAATTCTCCTGAACACAGAGGAACCATCTAGCTACCATGATTACTGACCTACCCATCCACCATGTCCAAAAGAAGGTAACATTTCCTGTGCCATTAAAAAATATATGCACACATACATTTTAGAATAAAAGGAGGGGAATACAAACTATGTACACACACATTTTAGAATAAAAGAAAGAAGGGGCGGAGGGGAGAGAGAGAAAAATACAAACTGACAAAGACCAGAAATTCAACCCTAGAAAGATGGGGGAGAGGGGATTCTGCAAGGCCTAGAGCAGCCATTTGATTAGATCTGTCAAGGGGTCCTTATTCACCCTTTGTCAAAAATTATTATTCCAATAATTCACAGGAAGGGGCCAGTTGTTAGAAAAATGGCCCTCTCCCAGCCTGTCTCCCCTCATTCCTCGTAAGGAAGGTAATTCATTGAATTGCACGCCAGTCCGGGCCCTAAATCAGCCAATGCACCAAAGCCCATGCACAAACACCAGTTAAGAAGGAGGTCTCAATTAACCAGGACGCTCTCCTACACAAGTTTCAATGGACGGAAGATGCACACCAATTCACTTCTTCGGGAGTCTAATTCCTCCACCCATCTCTCCCTTAAGCGTAACTTTCCCATAACATGCCCCAGCACCGCTTCTCTCTCCTCAAATGCGTTTCCTGGCCTTGCACAGTTATTCCCCCACCTCTAGTCTGACCTCTCTCCCTCTCTCACACAGAAATGGTGCTGTACGTAAGCATTCTATGACCTCCCCTTCCCCCTTGAGCAGTTATGGGAGCATTCTAGGGAGCACAAGACTATGGTGAATGGGGAAGGGGTCAAGTGGCAGGCTGAGTCTTTTATATCCTTACAGCATTTGATGTTGTGGGGAGCAAGCTCACTCACAACAGAGACAGGACCGCTTGTAAATTTTTGACAGTGTCAACCACACAGATGACGCTATATAAATAATACACAGCAAGAGAGATGACAGCGGTTTTTAAAACTGGTTAACTCGCCAGTATTTCAGCAGCAAATTAAATTTAAATATATTTGCATACCGCCCATCCTCAGTGGAAAAATCCCTGCCGAGGTTTTCAAGAGAGATGCCCATTATGTAACTGTAGATGTAACTTACAACTTCCGCCAACTCTGCACAAGCCATCTCAGCATCTTCTAATCCTGACTATGCCAACCTGGCGCCTTCCAGATGTTGTTGGGCTACAACTACTATCAGCTCCTGGGGAATTTCAGTCCATAACATGTTGGGGGGGGAGGGCACCAGGCTGGGAATAGCTGTTGTATTGCAACACAGTGAAGACTGAATGAAACATCAACATGGCCCTGACAGTGACACAACCTTCAACAGCCCAAATACTGGAGTTTTTGCTCTTTGCTAAACCCATTGCTCTTTGCTAAACCCATTGCTCTTTGCTAAACTCAAGCTACCAGCATGAGTTTGACCAAACTGCGGGAGGCAGTGGAAGACAGGAGGGCCTGGCGTGCTCTGGTCCAGGGGGTCATGAAGAGTCGGACACAACTAAATGACTAAACAACAACAGCAAACCCACTGATTAAGTGGGGTGGGGGATGTCGCCCAGTTAATCAGCTGGTGATTAGTCACACCGGACTGAAGTCTGCAGTCCTCAGAAAGAAGGACAATTTGCTGTGTGGTTGCAACTTGCTCGCACATTTCCCCTAACTTAGCCTGTGCTAGTTACAGATAGGTAGCCGTGTTGGTCTGCCATAGTCAAAACAAAAAAAATTCCTTCCAGTAGCACCTTAAAGACCAACTAAGTTAGTTCTTGGTATGAGCTTTCGTGTGCATGCACACTGAATGGTGTATCTGAAGAAGTGTGCATGCACACGAAAGCTCATACCAAGAACTAACTTAGTTGGTCTTTAAGGTGCTACTGGAAGGAATTTTTTTTGTTTAGCCTGTGCTGTTCCACATCAGAAACAGGAGTTTGGGTAGGAGAGGCGAAAATTATCCAATCCCAACATGCTCTCCTTTCAAGCAACGCTTGACCAACCTTCTGCCCCTCTCCCATTCAATCCCTACCCACCCCGTTGGTAAAATGGCACACTGTGCCACACACCCCACACACCCCACGCTATCTTGAAAAGGTTCCACAGGGGATGGGGGTAATACATGTCTTCTTTTAGGTTCTTCAATGACATGGGCAATGTGGATATTTTAATACTGTCCTACCATACAGGGCTGTTGTGAAGAACAACCAGAGAACACTACAAAGAGTAAAAGAAGCAGCAAGTAAACAACAACCCAAAAAAACCCACACCACCCATCAGCAGCTTTAAAAGTGTTTCTAAAATGTTTCTCAAAAGCTTTGGAGAGAAAAAAATCCCGGTGCAAAAGGATGATAACAAACCGGCAATTTTCCCTGAGGAAAGCATTCTGCAACTAGGGCCCCACCCTCCTCTGAAAATCTTAACAAACAGGGAGGTACATCTAGAGACTGGCAGCCCTTCAAGTATGCATAATACTCCTATTTATTACAACAATTGATCAAAAACCACCACTTCACTCTGCACAGCGCTGACTAATTAATTTCAGGATAATTGGCCTTTCTGGATTTGAACCCACCAACACTCAAGATGAATCAGGTTCTGCAGGCCACACACCATCAGGCTTTGAAACAGGGTGGATCTGAGGTGGGGGGGGTGAGGCCTTCCTCCAATTCTTCATCCCTCTCCTGTTCACCAAAATCACATGTGCTGCTGATTCACAGATTGTTTTGTGGGTCACCCTCCACTGTGAGGGGTCACTCCCTCACAACAATGTCCCACACAAAAAAACTTTTTGTCCAAGAGACAACTCCATATCCGTAACCCACACCCCACCCCGCCACCCATCGCAGCCCACAATGATAAATACCTCTCAGTAGGGTAGAGCGGAGGCTACGTGTGATGTGAGGTTCTGGTGTCTCTGTGTGAGGGTCAGCATCCAATATGGTGGATACAGAACGGAAGAAGCCATGCACCACAGCAGACAAAGACACAGCAGGCACACAGACTAGTGCTTAGCCTGAGCCCACGTAACATGCCACAAACCACAGAATTTAAATGTTGGTGTTATATCCTGGAGACAGGGTGGTGCACATTCAGCCATGTGAAGCTCACTGGGTGACACCTCAGGCCAGTCACTTATTTTGCCTACAGGGATCTGAAATTTAGACGGGTTCCAAAATTTGGCTATTGCTGAATTTGAAATAGCAAGCTTCTTTTTCTGGGAAGGGTTGGTTGCTGCGGGTGTGAGTCTGTTTGTATTCTAGGGAGCAGCTGAGACACTGTCAAATGCCAATGGTGCTGAACGACAGGGTCCTCGTGCAAATGCTTCAACACAGTGGAAGGAATGCCCAAGAGCCTGGCTGCTGGATCAGGCCAAAGGGGGCCCATCCTGGTCTCACAGTGGCCAACCAGATGCCCATTATGGGAATCCCACAAGCAGCTCCTGAGCGCAACAGCAGCGCTCTCCTCACCTGAGATTCCCAGCAAGACCTGCTTAAATGAGTCTCACACCAGTGCTCGTTTGAAGGGAGCAAAAAATAGATAAACAAAGGTTTCCATTTCAGGGGAAGAGCTCCAGTTGAGGGAGCATGATCCTTTCAGGTCTAGCAAAGACACAAACCATAAGCTAATACGCTACGAACTCTCACAGTGATAAACAGACACACTAAAAAAAGCACCCTTGAATGTAGCACACATGTGTAACTGTAGCATGCCCAAAAATATACAAAGATGCCCAAGTTACACCCTGTATGCTAAGATGTCACACCCACCAGCGCTTGTGAAAGACCACAAGTGCTTCAATGAACGTAGGCAGATGTCTCCAGTGCCACTGATGTTATGATAACAATATTCCTCCTGCCCAGGGAGCAAAGCACGCTTTCAAAAGCATTTTATATGCTCAGGCACAGTCTGCTGTTCCAGAGATGCTTTATATTGTTAAGGAAGACCCGTAAAAATGTGTCTATGTTTTAAAAAGTGATGTGTGGTGATGCACAGGGAAGGAAGCATTTGTGTCTCTTTCAGTCCTTCCCAACCCAGTGCCCTCCAGATGTTTGGACTACAACTCCCATGTGCTGTCTGGGGCTGATGGGAGTTGTAGTCCAAAACAGCTGAAGGGTGCCAGGTTGGCACAGGTGATTCTATTTGCTAAGGCACTGGCACTCCCCCCTCCAGAAGCATACAATTGGTGGCAAACACTCATTAGCTACCACATACACACACTTCTTCCAAGAGCCCCCTCCATACAGAGCAGCACACAGACACATTCGCAGTCATGACAACCCTGAGCTGAGTCACTGTGCTTTGAAAAAACAAAAGGGTTGTACAGTTGCACTTGCCGTGAAACACACACACACACACACACACACACGTGCATGGAGAGCTTTACGTGGACGAATAACAACCCCACACAGAGAAGCGAAAACAGCGCCACACACACCCTCACTCACACACCTATCAAAACGCCAAAGTCTAAAACTTATCACCACCAAAAAATCACACATACGGCCTACTACAGAGACAGCAACAGCCAAATGCCACCTGACACACGAAACACACACATGCTGCCACGTGGACGGTGAGGTCCACGAGCTCCAGTGCAGGCCACAGGTGGGTGCGGGTGTGGCGGAGTGCGGGTGTGGCAGGGGTGGGCAGGGCCGGGTGTGGCAGGATGGTGTCCCCTCTCCTGGCCGGGGCACCCGCGCCCCCCCTTCCTACCTTCATGGGGGAGATGTGCGAGTGAGACACATAGCCGTGGACGCTCTCGATCTGGGACAGGTTCTTCTCCGCCACGTGGACCAGCTCAGGGGCCTTTACCTGGTTGGGGAGGTGGGCGGGGCTGTGCTCCAACGGGGGGCTGTCTTCATCTTGGTAACGATATTTCTGAAAGGGAAGAGGCAGAGCGTCAGTGCCACGGCACGCCATGGAAGCAGAACACTGCTGGGTCGGCATAACAGTGCCATGTCAGGATGCGCACCCAAGCCTCGTCACCTGAAACCGGGGCGGGGAGCAGCAGAGACCACTCTGCTTGCTTGGCCCTGCACCTCCCCTCCCAGAAGCCTTTGCAAAAGGAAGCAGCCACTGGCAGGCTTTCACCCCCTTTCTTTTGCCCTGTGCCCCTAAAGAGCTGTATGCAGGCTGAGATACAACAGGTACTGAACCCCTTGAGATGTGGGGATAGGAAAACTTTTACCTGTGCCCCTCACAGCTTCATGGCAGGGTAAGATCCATGGCAGACTACAGCATCCCTTGGGGAGACTTTTACCTGTACCCTAAAGAGCTGCACACGGGCCTTGAGAATAATAGAATTGTAGGGACCACAAGGGTCATCTAGTCCAGCCCCCTGCAATACAGGACTGTTTTTACCCAACGTGGGGCTTGGACACACAACCCTTAGATTAGGAGTCTCATAATCTACAAACAAGGGACGTGGGTGTCGCTGTGGGTTAAACCACAGAGCCTAGGGCTTGCCGATCAGAAGGTCGGCGGTTCGAATCCCCGTGATGGGGTGAGCTCCCGTTGCTCGGTCCCTGCTCCTGCCAACCTAGCAGTTCAAAAGCACCTCAAAGTGCAAGTAGATAAATAGGTACCGCTCCGGCGGGAAGGTAAATGGCGTTTCCGTGCGCTGCTCTGGTTCGCCAGAAGCGGCTTAGTCATGCTGGCCACATGACCCGGAAGCTGTACACCGGCTCCCTCGGCCAGTAAAGCGAGATGAGTGTCGCAACCCCAGAGTCGGACACGACTGGACCTAATGGTCAGGGGTCCCTTCACCTTTACCTTTAATCTACAAACTGAGCTATGGTAGTGGGGCTTTTACCTGTTGAATCTCCATCTGCCATGCAGTTCAAGGCTTGGCAGAAGAGGCAGAAGGAGGCCACCTGCCCATCTGTCCTCCCTGTATTGTATTCCACCTTTACGGCTACCATTTCCTCTCCTGTACTGGCAGTGGCCAGTGCTTCAAGCAGCAGTCTCTCCCAGCTTTATTGGGCAACTGAGCCTGGAACCTTCTGCATCGCAAGCAGATGCTTAGCCACTGAGCGACAGCCCTTCCCCCACGTTCTCATGGGCTGTTTGCCATGCATCCCATCCCCAATAAAGGCTGGCTATGGTGCAATAAAGGGACGTGGGTGGCGCTGTGGGTTAAACCACAGAGCCTAGGACTTGCCGATCAGAAGGTCGGCGGTTCGAATCCCCGCGATGGGGTGAGCTCTCGTTGCTCGGTCCCTGTTCCTGCCAACCTAGCAGTTCAAAAGCACGTCAAAGTGCAAGTAGATAAATAGGCACCACTCTGGAGGGAAGGTAAACGGAGTTTCCATGCACTGCTCTGGTTCGCCAGAAGCGGCTTAGTCCTGCTGGCCACATGACCCGGAAGCTGTATGCCGGCTCCCTTGGCCAATAAAGCGAGATGAACGCCGCAACCCCAGAGTCGGTCACGACTGGACCTAATGGTCAGGAGTCCCTTTACCTTTTTATGGTGCAATAAATCCAACTGCACAGAGCAAAAACTGTGCAGACCCAGTGCAGTTCATGTTTGATTGATTTATCTATTGAGCAAGGAACTGAAGACTCACCATGGGCCAGTCACTAACTCTCAGCTAACCCACCTCACAAGGTGGTTGTGAGAATAAGCGGAGGGGGACGGATGGACCATGTTCACCACCTTCAGCTCCTTGGAGGAATATTGGGATTTGAACAGAATAAATAAGTACCGTACAATAAAATGTTTGGGATTCCCAAGTCTCCCCCTCAATCTGAGATCCTCTGAAGGGGCATCTGGTGGTTCCCTGTACCTCTGAAGTTTAATTGAGCTTTCAGTGTGGCAGACCTTGCTTGCCCTTTCCAACTCCCTGCCTGTAGAGGTTTGGCAGGAACAATACCTGCCTTCTTTCATAAGTCTTCTGAAAACTGTGCTTTTTAAGACAGGCCTTAACAGTATGTTTTTTTTCCTTTTTACCAAATGTATCCATTGGTGTTTTATTAGCTGTTTTTTCAGTTTTTACTGATGTTTTATATGTATACAATGATTTTTATTGTGCTCTATGTTGTAAGCTGCTTTGATGTATTTTATGAAAGTGCAGATGATAACCATTTAAATCAATAAATCATCCCTGAATATAGGCTAAAGCTGGCTGGGGCTTCTGCGAACTGCGAGTCCACCCACAGCTGGGGGGGGGGCTCCTATGGTGGCTCCCCACCTCCCCTATTGACTAAGGGTTGCATTTATTATTTTAAAAAAACCACTTTCACACACAAAAAGCATCTCAGTTTAAAATTCACCTCTCCCACCCCCCATTAAGCACCACTTCATACACAAGAGCTCAGCACCTGAAACTGCAGGATCCAAGAGTACCTGTGCAAGTGTAAAGTTCCTTCCTCTCACTAGAAAGCAGCCCTTCACATCAGGCCTGAGATTAGTCCATGTCTCATCAGCCTTGCATGAGAGGTGTTAACACAAGGGCAGAGACACCATCCGGAGCCAAACCACCTGCCTCCTCCTTTTCCCTCCTTTCTGTGCTTTTCTACAGATAAACCACATTTAGGAGAGAGGATGGGAAGGGGTTTCATCCAAATCGCTCCTCTCTCATGCTCAGCTGATATTTCTCCAGCTCTGGAGTTTCTTTTCTGGACAGACATTGTAGTGTTTTGGTTCTACCACTAAGCACTTTCAACTGCTCAACTGTCATGTTTTAGTTTGTCTGGGTACCCGCTCAGGATGTGGCACCTGTGGGACAGATGCTAAAATCACCCAAGAGTATACATAAACACAGCAGCACATGATGCGTATATAAACTATGGAACTCCCTCCCTCAGGAGGCAGTGATGGCCACAAACTCAGATGCCTTTAAAAGAGGATTGGATGGAGTCATGGAGGATATGGCTACAAGCCTCCATGGCAATGCACTAGCTCAAGTGCTGAAGGCAGTATGCCTCTGAATATCAGTTGCCAGGAATTGCAAATGGGGAACCTGGGACCTTCTGCATGCGAAGCATCTATCCACTGAGCTATGACCAGTGGGTAGAGCAGGTAAATATCTATCCTTGCCTTCTATCGAGAATGCTTTAACAATCAACCCCTCTTCCCAGGCAGCTTCGTGAGGGGAACAGGGATCCCCTAACAACTCTAAACACACTTAACAAACTACAGCTCCCATGATTATTTGCGGCAAAGACAGGGTGAGCTCCCATTGCGCGGTCCCTGCTCCTGCCAACCTAGCAGTTCAAAAGCACATTGAAGTGCAAGTAGATAAATAGATACCGCTATGGTGGGAAGGTAAACGGCGTTTCCGTGCGCTGCTCTGGTTCGCCAGAAGCGGCTTAGTCCTGCTGGCCACATGACCCAGAAGCTGTACGCCAGCTCCCTCTGTCAGTCAAGCGAGATGAGAGCCGCAACCCCAGAGTCGCCCACAACTGGACCTAACGGTCAGGGGTCCCTTTACCCTTTACCTTAGCTTTTAAGTGGTGCATGCTTGTCATCCACCAAAAGTGAATTATGAGTAGCGGACGTATCTTTTCCTCCCACCCCCATAAATAATAATAAATTTGGTATCTTGCTGCAATTAAGGAACTAACAATTTTGTTGAGATCTTGGATGGCTTTAAAATAAAAGGTAAAGGTACCCCTGCCCGTACGGGCCAGTCTTGACAGACTCTAGGGTTGTGCGCCCATCTCACTCAAGAGGCCGGGGGCCAGCGCTGTCCGGAGACACTTCCGGGTCACGTGGCCAGCGTGACATCGCTGCTCTGGCGAACCGGCACCAGAGCAGCACACGGAAACGCCGTTTACCTTCCCGCTAGTAAGCAGTCCCTATTTATCTACTTGCACCCGGAGGTGCTTTCGAACTGCTAGGTTGGCAGGCGCTGGGACCGAACAACGGGAGCGCACCCCGCCGCGGGGATTCGAACCACCGACCATGCGATCGGCAAGCCCTAGGCGCTGAGGCTTTTACCCACAGCGCCACCTGCGTCCCTTTAGAATGAGTTAAATTCCTGCTGCAGACGGCTATGGATGGTTACTAACCACCATGGCTATCTGCTACCACAGTTGGAGGCAGCAGTGGTTCTGGATATCGGTTGCTGAGAGTCACGGGATGGGAGAGGGCTCTTGTGCTCGAATCCCGCTTGCTGGTTTCCCACAGGCATCTGGTTGGTCACTGCGAGAAGAGGATGCTGGACTAGATGGACCACTGGCCTGATCCAGCAGGCTCTTATGTTATTATGCTGCAGCTGGCAGGCATGAACATTGGAGCCTGAATTGCAGCGCCCAAGAGAGAAGCAACATTGTGCACAAATATAAACAGGCAATCTAAGCTTCAGGTCACCATTCTAGCGCGTGCACACGCACACACACACACCTAGATGCAATGAACATTCATAGCAAGCCTCTCTCGATGCGCACATGCACACATTTGCCTCTGCACTGCCTCCGCATCAGGCTTTCAGATTCCTTCAGATCCTAGGCAGTGAAGGAGAAATCAGTGTGGGCTGGGAGTGGGTGTTTAGGAACAGGCCCCTCCCCTCCTCATCCCAACAAGATGCCCCAAAGCAGAAGAAAATAATTAAGGCGGATGCCTCACCACTGCTCAATCCTCTGGAGCCACCAAAGCCTTTAAGAACACAGGACGGCTGGGAGTTTTAAAAATGCACATTTGCCAGGAATCACGGATGAATGGGGAAGCAGAGAGCTGTGGAGGAAGGATTTAATTGGAGGGGGGCAAGTTCCTGGGCCCTGGGGAGATGAATCTCCAGCAAGAGAGTGAGTGTCACCTACTGGGGATGATTCACACATACATGCAACACCAACGTGACATTGAATTAACTGGGAATTGTCAGCTGTCCTTGCAAGAAAAGTATTTGGATCGGGATAACACAAGAGAATGGAATTGT